GGTACCTTCGACTTCAGGGGGTCTGTATTTGTAAACAGTGGCTCAACTAAAATTGTACTAGTGTGATATCAGTAATAAACTGATGAGTTAGATTGATTATGAATCGCATATCACCACCTCTAACCTTTTGATGAGTGGATCATTGCTTTTTTATTATTTGATACTTGATCAATTAGGAGATAGCTTGATATAAACAACATTTTGTTACATACAATCACTTGCTCATGAACAACTGTATAGCATATGCCATTGCTTCTCTACAACACCAGCGTTTATAGAAGAGCGTGTATTTCCCCCTCCTTTGACTGTGATTAAACCGAGCAGCTTCAGAGAAAACCTGTGGTTTGCCTTGTGACTAGAAGGAGATCATGATTCTTCAACTCAAATGCATAATACATGAGTTTGAACAGGATATTGTTCAAGTGTATGGTGTAGCACATCTCCAAACCCCAAATCTTATTCACATCAGACTACATTTGATAAAAAGAAATCTATGGATAGGCTGCAGATGTATTATTGCACAGATGATCTGATTTCTTACAGCTGAAGCATGTCTTTTCTATCTGTCACTACTATCTACAATCCTTTCAGCACCAGGCCATGTCCTTTGTAACACACTTCAATAACACATTAAAGTAACTCAATAAATAATGAGCCTGTCTTAAAGCTGGTCTTGTACATTAACTTTGCTGTGGGCTGAACGTAATGTCACTTCTTGTTTACTCAGAGGGAATCCCTATTGTTGAAGGCACAAAGCCAACAGCTTATTACAGAGGATCATTTTACCAAACATAATAGGGTTATCTGGCAGAAACACCTGGAGCACTAATTTTCAGTAGACATTAGATACCTTTCATGTCAAACCTGTCTTCCTACATTTCCTGGGACAAGGGGTTAAAGCAACCTGTCCAATAACAATACTACATGTTTCATTTTACATCAAAACTATGAGCATCTCTGGTTGCAATTAGAGGGCTAACAGTTCTGAGTCAGATAGGATATGTCTGGATTCAGGGCTTTCCGCTTTACGACTCATGGGGAATAATGCAATCTAGATGGGGAAAAACCATGGATACAGCCAAAATACCATGTTTCCCTTTCACATAATTTTAGTGTAACCATTTGGATATGACCAGGCCTGCTGCTGAGGGATTTCCAGACTGTTTGAACACTGCTCTTACTATAAAAATCTGCAACTTTTCTTGTGTGTTTGTGAACAACTTGTGAAACAATGGATGGAAAAGAGCCCTCGGCAGTTTGTTCATTAACATACACTGTCTCACCTAAACTTGCGCTGCAAGATGAATTCTCGTGATATTTGTAAGTTCACAAAATTCTCAGGGCAGCATTGTGATTTGGGCAGAAGTCAAAGTTCATGCGCTCAAACTATCCAAACATGTCGACACGACACCAGATATACTTCAGAACTATTTTGTTTGAAAATGTGCAAAAGGAAGTGCTGGACAGGAACGATGTCTATGCTTTTCTTTCAAACAGATAAAACCAAAATTTGATTTCTCAGCTTGTGCTGTTGTGACCATAGACTGTATAAAGAAGTGTACTAAGGGAGTGTGACGTCACCCATAGCCTTCAGCTCCAGTCAAATGAAGCTCGTGATGCTAGCAGTTACAGAAGCGAATTTAGCGCCAGGCTCCGTACTAGGAATACAAATTAATTAACGGACAAAATAGCGAAATAAAACCCCAGAATCATGTAGAGTTGGTTAATATGAACATTTTAAGACCAAAATGACAAGGCTCACTAGAGCAGCTGGAGATAGAAGAGTGACAATATTCCAATGTAAGTCAATGGGATCCAGGGTTAGAAGGAGCCGGAAGCGTCCCCTTACTAACTTCCTATTTGGAAAGCTGCAGCTAGCATGTTAACTATGTCCATTTATACATACAGTCTATGGTTGTGACACTTTGCCAGATCAGCTCAAAGTATTTGTTTGAACATTCTGATTGATTTCAGTGAGAGGCTTTCCAGACTGATGAATGTGTACAACTGAATTCAAAGTGCTACACATCTGGCATTAGTCAGGTTAGTCAGGTTGTCAAATAATAACAAATAATAAGTCTTCAGTATTTTTTTATGTGTCATGGAATTTATATGTGTGAAAACAGGTGACAGTTGTAAATTAATTACATATATCTCTCTTCCCACCAGAAAAAGTACAAAATTAATGAAGGGCACACCTGTTTGTGCAGCTATGGCGTTGGGATATTAAGATATTAAAAGATTATTTTAATTTTATTTAACCTTTAGACAGTTAGATTGAGAACAATTTATCATTTAAACCAACAACCTTGTCCTTAGTCTTGTGAAGATACAGACACATTGGCTAATGGGTACTTCTAAGTAAGTCCGCTAAGCTAACATTTCAGTCCGCGCTGTATCCCATGATGAAATAACCTTACAAATATGCTATCATAACACAACTCCACAATATGTAATCCGTTAAAAGCAGCAGTCTAACTTCCAAAAATAGCACGAATGCACATAATGTGATTGTTTCCAATATTGATCAGTGAAATATGTGTTCTCAGCAGTTTATGCAATTCCCATGGGAAAGACAGAAAAGAGGAATATTGACAACACTCATCAATACAAAGTGTCCACTTTATGACGTCACTGAGTGGAGCAGTTATCATTTATAAACCCATCATGACAAGACAGTGAAAAAACGGGGCTCCTAATGGAAGCAAAAGATCCTTAATGATCTTATGTGTTTGTGAAAACAATGTCAGGATACGGTCCCTGACAAAGAGACAAAACTTTTGTCTTGCCAAAATCTGACCTTTCTGTGTTCATTAAAAGATCAATCTTTCTTCAGCAAAGAAAATTAATTTTAGTATATTGAGCATAATTTGGGAGGGTTTTAGCTTTCATATGAGACATTTCTAAAACCAATCGATTAATTTAAAGTCAGGTTATAAGCTTTTGTTTCTACAAAATGGATAGCGACAAGACTTTTGTCAGGGACTGTAGTGAAAGATATAGCATAAAGAAATGCAAAGAAATCTATAAATATCAGTTAGAGCCACCAGAGAAAAATAATGCTGCTGATTTCTATCTTAATTAAAAATCAGTTCAGCGTAATCGTGGTCCATTCTACAAATCCAGAGGTGATTTATGACATTTGATGGCTGGGCACACATTATGACAAGCTTGGGAAGTAAAGACATACTTCAGTTAAATGCCCAAGACAAACACTGAAAATAAATTTGTAAAATAAAATGTCAGATCTTCACTTAAGAGAGTTCAAAAAACTACAAGACAGACAAAAGCAACAAGACAGACAACAAAACTCTTGCTGAACTAGAAACTGAGCAAGTCAAGGCAAATATTTAACAACTCTAATTTAGGTACAGCTTGGAACACTGTATAACTTCTTCTTCTAACAGGTGCTTCTATTGTATCTTCTATTGTGTAGTTCAATTGTTTTTTTACAAAGTGCAAGCAAAGATTCTTTTAAGCCTCGAAAGCGACCCAACCCTCTCCAGTGAGGATAAAAGGGTATATTATATTTCCCGATTTAAAACCAGTTTGAATAGGCTCAGTTGTGTTTGAAAGGGAAGCTATTGTGTGTTATTGTTTCTTATATTTACCAAAATGAGAGAGGAAGTTTTGAGTTCAACATAAAGATGAAAAACCACTTGTATTGCACTCAACACTCTCGGTTCCAACCACACATCGAGCATACAAACACATATGAAGGTAATTATCCTGATCCAAGACTGTAGCAATTGTGATGTGCAATTCAAGTACATGTCTGAAAACACACTTTTGAGAATGAAGCAAGTCCAGCAAAGTTGTGTGCCTAGAGAGGAGAAGTAGTTACTCAAAGTCAAAGATACATAAGTGATGCAAGAACTAGGCACTGGGTAAATATCACAACCACAGACTCAACTATAAACTCAACTATAAAACATCAACAGACTAGTGTATGAGAACTGTCTGTACTTTATTTTATAATCAGACTAACACTACATATGTGACAACAGGTGAGAGTAGAGATGGGAGACAATAATAATAATAATAATAAAAGATAACATAATTGTTGTTTTGGAGAATTGGAATATCAAGAACAGCTCTTTAATTCTACAGGTTTATTTGTGTGAGAACTGAACCTCAACCAAGATGTTTGCAGATGTATTTTGGCCCATTTTGGCTAGATACTATCTGATTATCGTTAGAATCAAAATATGTCTAGATATTAGTTTTAGTGACACATATCCTTGACCCCTGTATTGTCAACACAGACTCCAAATGCCTAGTGTGGCACAGGCAGGGCAGTTCTCTTTCAGGCAGGCACACCTTTTTAATGGGCCCTGCAGTATTCAGCATTAAGGAGAGTCTGACACCACATACCACAGCAAACAAAAACATCAACGGTCGCTACACAAGTGAGCCTTCTGTGTACAATAGGTTATGCAGTTGTTTTATTAGGCATTCAACTGGTGGGAAAGGTATGTAAGTATAGCATGGTCATAAAGCAATGACATTTTTTAATTTAGATTTTTAGGCAAGTGTTATTTTGAAGAAGTGAAAGTCTTTACACATAATGGTGTCAATTTCCTTAGAGCTTTCAAAATATTCCACAAGTTGGGCAATGCTCAGGGTATTGTTTTGCATTACATGTATTACTATACTAAACAGAATGATGTCTCTGTTTTCTCCATATAGAGGGTCACCACTCCCTCTGTCACTATGCAGATTACAGGATGACCAGAGTCGCATCCTCTTAAAGTAATGGAGAAGAGTGTATTCTGGATCCCAAACAATAAAAGGAAAATAATAGCCTAAGGGAGCCCTTAAACACTGACTGTATCTGGGTAAATTAAAATGCATTCTTGAAGAAGACACTCTTGTCTAGTATCACTTTATCTATCCCTTTTCAATTATTCTCATTAGTCATATTAAGTTAGAACTGGAGATGCATCAAGCAACTTAAATGCACACTATACATAATGTAATATATTCTTCAAAGTACTTACAGTCAGTGGCAAAGAGCAGACAGCAAAGATGAGAGTGATGAGAGCAAGGAGAACCAGGTGATCCATCTCTTCTTCCCCCTGTCCGAACCAGGCCAGGCTCATCCTCCTTCGCCTTCCCGTTGACACCACAGAGCCTCGTCTCTTTGCGTGATTTCTGTGCATCTTACACAGGCTCACAATTACAGATCCGTTGCACAAAAACACAGCTATAATCAGCAGTGCCATGAGAGAGGAATAGGACAGAGAAAACACCAGAACTAAGCTGTTTTCCTCTGTTGCGTCCATGTCAATAAAGCACCATGTTCCGGGGCAGTACTGTCGAAATTTACCCAAACCAGTGTATGGCAACAAACAGAAAGAAAAGGAGAACAGGTATATAAATAAAAGCACACATTTGGCAAACCTGCGCCGTATGTGGACAGAGTAAAAGTACGGGTGACTTATGGCAAGGCAGCGCTCCACAGCCATGGCACACAAGATGAGGGTGGGTGCCAGTCCAAAGAAACTCATGGCAAAACCAAAAAGGTTACAGAGTCTTTCCTCTCCCAGGCCAATGAGTGACATGTTGCGGGCGTAACAAATGAACACAGGTGGGCTGAGGAGACAAGTTCCCAACAGATCTGTGAGGGCCAATCCGGTGACCAGAATACAAAAGACAGAAGACTGGGACCGTTGTTTCTTCTGATGGACCACGAGTATGAACAGAGCCAGCAGATTTCCTATGACGCCAGCCAAAAACATGGAAATGCTGGTTGATGGATTGCCATCCTTGCTCACAATGAGGGTGATGTTGCTGCTGATGCTGTGGCATGATCTGTTTGAAATCATGCTTCCAAATATGTCAAACCTGAACACGATGGATCAGTGAGGTCTTAGTAAAGAGTACCCAGACAAGAGAATTAGAACTGCCTGACCTCGGGATACTAACATTTGGAAGAAAGCAAGATGTAGATCCATGATGAAGCTAACGCATCCTCGTACTACCTGGAGGAGACCAGAAAGAAAATATGGGGCGTCATGAGATCAGTCTTCACATGCAATTTTATTAGTGTTCCTCTTTACAGAATCATACAGTAGCCTATCTCAGTGTGACAGTGCATATATAGGCTACACATGTGCTAGAACAGTCCCCAACCTGTTGCTCAGGAGCTCTCCAACCCTTTCCAAATAGCTCACCGAGTCATTTCTGAATTATGCGTAATGTGCTGAATAACTAAAACTTTATATAAATGCCTTGTTGTAACTTTGTGCACTAATAACTGGAAAATTGTTTAAGTTTAAAGGCATCTAACCGTACCCCATCTAAGACTTGCCATGACTAAAATGAGTAGCTCTCAGGCATTTTTGTTCTGTCAAGGTAGCTCAGGTTGGAGACCGCTGTGGTAGAAAATGCTAACTTTTAATTGCCTCAGCTTAAAGACTTAGAAAATTAAAATGTATGCCTACTAATGCGTGCATATCAATAGCCAAACGTACACAAACGAGAGGCTGAAACCTAAGCCTACTGTAGCAATAAATTAGGAAGTAAGAAATGAAGATAACTTGTATTAACAGTTTGCAAACCAAATTTAAGAAGCCTAACGTAGGCTACCAAAAATGTCAATTTATCAATTAGTCTATAATTGCTTACCTTAAATATACTCTCCCAAACACGTTAAACTAAGACAACTGTTTTTATCGCACCACATGCTGTCAAATAAAGAAAAAGGAAAAGGCAGATATGCCCCTGACGCAAACCCTCCACTCTGTCTGCGGGCGGACAGGGAATGGTGCACGCGATCCTCGGCGTAGACTTCTTACACACTGTATCTCCTCCTCCTCCTCCGCTCTTTTCATCTAGTACCTCCCACTCACCAGCTCAACGCGGCGCTGGCGCAATCAAAGAAAAAAACACAAGAGAAGACAATAATTGAAGAAGACGATAGACGAGAGCTGCACTAATAGCACAAATACACAAATTCTGTACAAATGCCAAACCATGTTAAAATTTTTACCGAAATCTGATTTATTTTAAAAAATTTCAGCATTCAAAAAGTAATGAAAAGCATAATTAATCTTTGCTCTAATCGAGATTTAACTTGAGTGGTAGTTTGTATTGAAAATGTTAAAAAAAAAAAAAAAAAAAAAAAAAAAAAAGGCTATTTTCCATAGCCATAGTCGATGAAAAATATTTAGCTTAGTGTAGCCAGCCCCATCATTAGTTATTGTAAGCTGTTTCTTTTGGCTCAGGACTTACCTTTGTTGATATAAAAAGTGGTTTAAAGTCTCAGTTTACATTTTATGCAGCCTTTGCTTTCCAGCTCAGCTCAGTCGAGAAAAAGAAGGGAACCACCAGTGCGTTTGGACCATGGACAGTCTATGGTCTGGACCTCAGGACTCGCGCGGAAACCAGCCATTTACCTACAAGGCGGTAAAGTACCCACGGTTTTTGCTTTGTTGGTTGTTTTGTGATATTCTACTGCACGTAAGGAACTGCGAAATATTTCAACTTCTTTATTTTTATATAAACAAATTTGGCTAAAATAAGTCCAAAGGCATATGTTTTTACAGTTTGAAGCCTTCATTAACCTATGTTTCATCATTCTGCAATAGGGTAGTAGCTTACTCTTCTATCCTGTTGAACTTAGTGACATAAATAAAGAGAGCATGTCAGCAAAGTTTCTTCCTCTTTTTATTTTCAAAACCACACTGTTGAAAAGTCAAAAACTCCTTAATGTTACATGAAATCTAGTTGATATAGAATAAAACAGAGGTCGACATCTTGTTCACCTGCTTGAATCTAAGGAAAGCCATACGTTTCATGTGAAACATCCAGAATTCACTCCTTGAGCTGATTAATGATTGGCTACAGGGGTTGGGCCTTATGTAATATGTAGTGAAGTTTTGGATCAGAGAGAGTCCTATTAGATTTAAACCTAAAACTGGATTTCAGGATTGGAACTGGCAACCAAATGATAGACTTATGTGAGGCTCATTATTCTTTCTGATAATCATCTTAAAAAACAAAACACCACATTCACTATAACCTAAACAATGTGGCCATCATATGCAATGTTTAGGAATAAATCTGCATTAGAATTGTTATGATCATGTACTTCGTATCTGAGGACACAGCTCAGGTTTATGATCTTAAATACATTTACTTAAAGAAGACTGGTTTCAAAACAACACCACTGCATTTTTCTGGTGTGAACAGTAAGATAGATTTCTGAACTTGACTGAATTTTTGGGAAGAGATAACACCTCTAAACCATATATGACCAGAGAGTTTCACATACTCCCACTGTATTTCCTTTGTTTGGACGATTCTCAGGTTTTTGATCAAAAGCAGACAAGAATTGAAGACAAAAAGCTGAGCGTGACTTGTGTGAGTAATAAGCTAGACGGATTGTTAAGGAAAAATAACCTTTAAATGTTCTAAGAACACTTATTCTCAACAGAAAATATTATTGCATTAGAAAGGAACACTTTCATGTTAAAAGAAATGCAATGTCAGCGGTTTAAGAAACAACACAGATTGCATCAACAATTACAGATAAAAATATTTTTGTGTAAATCTATGTATCTATGTATGTATGTATGTATGTATGTTATGTACTGTTTGTACTGTATGTACTGTATGTATGTATGTATTTATTTATTTGTAGTACCATAACAGCTTGGGGGAGGTGAATAATTAACATCTTTAACTCACTATAGATCCAATCCTAAGTGTTTTATTGTGCTATTTATTGCAGCACATGTTTTATGGTTTATTATTATGCTATTGTATCTGTAGTGTAAGCTCTTCAATGTTACACAATAGGCTAATTCTTAATTATTACATCTGCATTTCAGATAAATGCGTACAGAGAGTACTCATGAATATTTCATTTTGGTTTGCTGTTTGTTGAACATTGTCAAGCTTCACGGATCAATTGCTCACTGATCGTTGAACAGACCGGTGTATTGTGATGAAACTGTAGTAGTCACTAGTAAAAGCTAACAAGCAGAGCGTTACTTTATCATTACATTGTGTAAAATGTAATGTATAATGGCATGCCCCTTATTTATTTATTTTGTAGTGCCTGAATTGTTTGGAGGTCAAAAATTTCCTGGTGGATGACCACTATTGCTTGTGAGTAACCTATACCATAAAATAAGCTTTTACTTAAGAATATGTAGTTCAGTAATAGTGTATTAGGACACAGTATGCTGGCAGGAACAAGAGCCAATAAATCTGTATTCCATCAAACTAATCTCCATATAAATCTTATGGCTCTACTCAGTCCATGAATCAGCTCCCATAAAAATAAGTCGTAATTTTTGGTGTTTAAGTATTTCACAGTTAAACAAGCAGCTCACCCATAGCAGATAAGACTTAACCATTGGCTCATGTCAAAGACAAACTTCTAGTGGCATCTGCCCACATTCATTGTTCTGGTCCAGTGTACACAGTGAGAGAAAGGGCTTTCCCAGTTCTATGGAGACTGCACACACTCCTATAATAGACATAATGAGAGTGGCCTGTTTTGGATTAGGCTGTTTGTTCTAAATTGTCCACAGAAATTAATTTGAATTTTTTTTGTCTTCCACCAATGTAGTGTCTAGTGAACAAATGAAGTACAGTACTTTTTAAAACACACAAATGGTCCTTGTAACAAAATGAACACCATTGTATAAACTAGTAAAAATTAATTGTGATTTTAACATCCAAAGCTCCTTACTGATGTATTGATTTAACAATAATGTTCAACACAACCACTGAAAGCAGAAGGAGGGATTTTCCCTTTCTAAATCTACCTGCACATCTTTATCAATTTCTAGTACTGATCCAGAAGTGTCATTTGTGTGGTGGACTTTTCTGTAATCTAATATTAAATAAATTTATATTATCCTTGAATAGCAGCTTTTGTGCTTAGTGCCATCATAACCCAAATTAGAACTTATGTTATGGAGTCTGTTTTACTAGGCTTCCACTTAAAAGGGTTTTCTGTTTACTGCCAGAGACTCTATATATAAGCTGAGACCTTGCTGCAATTTTTTTATGAATTTAGCAGGCCTAAGTAAAGAAAAAGTTTTAATGTGCCAGTTATTTGTTGTGTACATAGTTTGTTTGACTATGAAGGCAACAAAATGGGAAACTCTAGGTCTTGTATAAGAGATGTGTGTTGCTGTGTATTCAAATGAGGGCAATGCACATGAAGGTGTGTCCTGATGCAAAGTAAGAAGACTGGGAGGCAACAGAATGTCACGCTCAGATCCAAAACTCAACACTTGTATCTGGGACTTAAGTGTGAAGATACTGTTCAAAGTTTTATCCATATAGGCCACCTAAATATTTTTGTTAAGCCATACCTTTAGGTGCTCTGTCAAAATAAAAATAGGCTGCCATATGTATGACGGTACTATCACATTCACAGCTCAGGTGACATGGCTCCCTCTAGTGTTTAAAAGAGGAAAGCTTACCTTATGTTGGCAAAAAAAAAAAAAAAAAAAAGTGGTGTCCTGTATAAAGTGACTGTATAAAGAAGAGATTTTATTGCTGAGTTTTAGATGACATTGCTACAGTTTATACCCCAATATTATTTAATACAGATGGGAAACAGGCAAAATTACCATTGTGCAACTGCAGATTTTGTTGCAATACAGTATGTTTCAGCAAATAGTGCTTGGACGAGAGACCGCTGGGAATAACAGGTACTAGTGGGGCGCCAGTGGCTAAAACTGTCATTGTGTCCTTAGGCAAGACACTTTATTGCCTACTAAGAAAGTGGTGTGCGCATGAGTGTTGGTGGTGGTTGGAGGGGCCAATGGCGCAGATTGGCAGCCACACTTCTGTCAGTCTCTCTCAGGGCAGCTGTGGCTACAATAGTAACTTACCACCACTGTGGAGTGAATGAACAATGAACTGTAAAGCGCTTTGGCTGTCTTGAGAAGTGCTATATAAATGCAATGATTAATTAATTTAGATAATTTGACAAAATAAATGCTCAATCAAAACATTATTGTGTAATGTCTTTGAGGTGGCCAATGATCCACATGTGCATTCTTGGTAAATGACCCAAATAGAGGAGAGGACGTGACGGAGCTCTGATTAGGAGGATCCCTCCTAAGTGGTTCAAAAGTTGAGGATCCTGGCAATTGGGAAACACCCTTAGTCTTACTGAAACCCAGCTCCGTCCTGGGCTGTTCTCATATTGGGTGTTTCTCAATTCCCAGGATCCTTCCTCCAGAGACCACTTTGTAGCACTTCTCTGGAGTCGACTCCTCTGAAGTAGAGCCAAGAAAAGCGATGTCCCCATGCTACGTAAAACGTGTGAATAATGAAGGCTGAGTGAATCATCTGTTATCGGGTTATTTAGGCTGATTAGCCTAGAGAAAGCTTTAAGAGATTTTGCTGCAATTGTCCTGATTTAATGAATTCGATCTGGTACTGTGTTATTTGCAGCAATGTTGCTAAAATAGCAGTTTTTTTTTTTTACTTTTGTATTGTGTAATGAGTTTTTTGATTGCAGCGTTCTGAGGTGGCCAAGGATCCACCTGTGCGTCCCTGGTAAAAGAGTCAAACGCAGGAGTCGAGCGCGGAGGGTGTGAGGACTTTGGAGAAACTGGAACACCACCTGGCGGAGCTCTGATGACCATTATATGTTAAGGCCATAAACTGTACCAGTTTCACTGCCCCCTTCTGGACGCGCAGCTTCATTGACTGTTTCTATCACTACACACATGCATCTGCAGCTTTCGAGATACTAAATATTACTTTAAATTGCTATTTACTGTCTTTAAACTGTACATACCAATAATTACCTATTGTACATAATAGCTGTGCAACTTATTTTTGGACTAAACATGCATTAATTGATGTTCTCTTAGATTCACATTTAACGTAAATGCTATCCTTCTGTTCCCCACAACATTACCCAGTTCTTGATCTGTTCTTGACTCAAAGAGTCTCTTTGTCACTCTCCACATAATACAGTTAAATTTAATAAATTTTCAAATAAATTTTCAGCACACTTTAATTTATTTTCATTCATTTCAAAGCAACACTTGTAACAGAGTACTGAAGACATGCACTTTTGGTTAAGCATGATGGAGAAATATACGTAGGTGAAGTAAAGCTCGGTCAATTTATTGGTGCATATGGAAAAAATACAGACTGCCTTAACAGTCCTTAATAACTTACTTTCAAATTTTGAAGACTGAAAAGCCTCCCATACGGTGACCCTACTAGCCAACATTTGGTTTACAATATAATGGCCAATATCTGTAATGCTGAACTTCACTGCAACCCCATTTCTACTGCATAGCCCAAAGATCACCCCTGGACAGTAGAACAGATTAAACAGTATGTGCTCTCATGAGAAATAAACAGCAAGCAGACAAAGTCACTTGACAAAAAACTTGGACACAAAAAATAAAAATATGAAGAGTTACCTCAACAGCAACAATAAAGTATTTTAGGACAAAACCATTTTAATATCCATTTAGCTCGTAGTGCAAATTAATATTTTACTGGATTTTATTTATAATATTTAAATTAACTACAGTTCCTGCAGAATATTGAGACATTTCTGAGGATTATGGCACATTTCAAAACAAAAGAAAAACTGATCACAGGTATTATTTTACTACAACAGGCAAACTTTACAATACACTAATATATCAAGATATATATTGTGACCAAAGTTTGTCATGAATAGATAATATATTTAGAACACAGTTATAAAGCAGTACATCAATATTATATTATTAGGATATCTGTTTGCAGAACAAAAGTATTAACTGCAGTCCTGGTTTGTTTCCACAACAAACACCCTGACACAATTCACATAACTGCCTCCAATTAGTGCTGCAACATCCAAAACCCAACGCTCAACAAGAAGCCAGAAAACATCCCACAGAGGGAATGACAGACAGCACTGTGCAGATATGGGTCTGTCCAAACAGTGCTCACTTTCAACTGAGCACCCACAAACACCCTAAAACATATTTGCTCTTGCAACACTCAATAGTTAGATGTATTTTACAGATATAGCTATATAGTAATGTATATACCTGCAGAGTGTACACAATCTGACCACTAGTTCTGACGGGCTCCGAACCACCTCGTGACAAGAGACCGCCACAGAAAGGGTGCATGCAAGAAGAGTACAAGAACCCAATTTAGGATGAGAATAATCACTACTGCCACTGGTGCAACAAAGTCTATATTCTGTATTGATATTGCAAAGAGGTGGATGACCAGCTGTTCTGTAGGAACTGTGGCCTGGGACTTTCTCTGTCTTTTCAGTTGCTATTTCCTCTAAATAATTCAGGAGAATCTTGGTCTGAAGTACAGGGCTTCAACCCTCTTAAAACTTGGTCCATTTGTTTCCCTATTCTGTTGTTTGCTAAACAGAGACCTTAAAATTAGCTGTAAAAGATAAATTGCACATTACTAAACTTGTAAATGTTAGGGGTCCTTTTTGATTTAAAAGACAATCTCGAGAGGACAAGCAACATGGAGAGAAATGCCAATGCTCTTCTCACTTGGCGGTCATCATTTGGACAAACTCTGGAAAAGAACAAAGTATTTATTAAAATCCAACACAAAATGCTTACGCCAGATTTACACTGACTGCAAGTGCGTACTTTGAGAGTGTTACTGCCATATTGCCTGTTAGACCAACTATGACAACTTTGGTGCATATTTCACCAAAGCAAGTTTCAAGGGGTACACACGTGTAATTCACGTGTAATGACCTGTAAGCCGCTCCAGACTGCTATTTCTTGTGTATTCTTCCCTCAGACCTGAGTCTCACCCGCAATCAAACCCCAAGGTCAGTGTGGCAGGACACAGAGGTCAGAGCAGAAGTCAGTGTGGCAGGGCGCAATGGTTATAATGACCTTTAAGTCTTGTGGGACCCGAACCGCACCACACTTGCAGTCAGTGTACACACAAAAGTTCAGCCAACAGAAGACAAGGCATCACAGTTGAATAGGGTAAAGTCTAGAAGATTTTTAAAATATATTATTATACCAATCTTGACATTTGCTGATACTCCACATTTAATCCCTTCAAATGAATAATAAAAAACTTTGATACTTTAGGTTTTGGTTTCATACCTTGATGTCATGACACTGGTTCTGATCATTATGGCAAAATTCACTGCATTGTTCAATTAAACAATTCTGATTCTTGAAACTTGGTCTCCTCCACTCCTCAGCCAAATAGATTTTTAACTACTTTATTTTGGTCATCCATCAGTTTTCACAATTTTTTCATGCATGTTCAAATAATTCTTGCATTTGAGGCTCAAGTGTTCAGAAAGTTTGTTTTCACCTACCCCCTAGCCCTGCCACTTCTGGTAAATAGTATATATTGCGGCGTATGTAGCCCAATGCTTATCCCACACGCCGCGGCGGGCTAAGACACGGGGTAAAACACTGTGGAAGCGTAACTCGGAACAAATGCACATATACACGGTACTTGTTCGTAATGGTAGGCATACGCGTTAGAGCACTTACTTTAAAGCTGCTGCCGTCCGTAGCCATGCACCGATTCCTTCTATGCGCAAATCTTTCCTGTTAAAATACGGTCAACAGAAAGTTGCTCCCCGTGCTCACCCCGCCACCATGATCCAAGGCCTTACACTCAACAGGTGAGCGCGCTCATATATAGGCCACACCACACCCACCGTGCCACCCCCAGACACCGCAGTGTAGTGCACAGAGTTAAAGCGCGTGCACATTAGTGAGGAAACCAATAGCAAACCCACGAATGGCTCCTACATACCGGCCCCTAATTATTAACTAGTAATAATTAACCACCACCAACTACTTGTAGGAGACAGAAGAGAAACCATACTAAACCACAAAAAGAAATAGAGTCCATAGTGGTCACTGCTCTTCCGCTGACAGCTAGTCCTGAGACACTTTACTTTTAATGTTTGCCACCTGGACCTTCAGTTCCCTTTTCCACAGCTTGTCCATCCTGCTGGCCACCACCGCAGCTGTCAACTCCATACGAGGGATGGTAACAGGTTTGAGTGGAGCCACATGTGCCTTGCCCATCACAAATGTGCAGTAAGCTCTGCCACTGATGTCACAGAGTAACAGATAGGTCACGGTTCCAAAACCCTCCTCACTTGCATCCGCAAAGTGGTGCAGCTGCGCAGAAGCAAGATCACCAAAGTTCATAGGTTTCAAGCATCTACTGACCTCCCAGTGTTCAAGGAGATGCATATCTTCCAGCCAGGCCAACCAATCTCTAGCCACTGAAGGAGGCAGAGGATTGTAAACTGAACGGATGACTGACAGGATTCCTCTTCTCGTCAGCGGATGATTTTTGAGTGTGATCTTGAACTTAAACAAGTCAGACTCCACGCACCACTGCACGCCCAAAGCTCACTCTATAGGCAAGACATCACTGTCTAAATCTAGATCTTTTACTTCTTTGGCTCTCTTTTCAGCAGAAAGAACTGAGTGCCGATTACTGACCCATTTCGTAAGCTTAAACCCACCTTTGGCACACAAAGCTCCAAGTTCTTGACATAAAGACATTGCTTCCGCTTCAGAGGCAACAGACACCAAGCAATCATCAACATAAAAATGGTGCAACAGAGTATTGACAGCCGCAGGACTGAAATGGTCATGATTATCCTCAGCACACCTCCGAAGAGCAAAAGAGGCACAGCTAGGAGAGGACGTAGCACCAAACACATGTGCTACCATTCGGTACTCCGCGAGCTCCTGACTGCAGTCTCTGTCAGGCCACCACAGGAATCTCAACAAATCACAGTCTTCAGCTGGTACCCGGACCTGGTGAAACATGGCCTCAACATCAGCCATAAGCACAACAGGTTCCTTATGAAATCTGGTGAGAACATTAACCAACAGACTAGTAAGGTCAGGACGCTGAAGCAGTTGGGAGTTCAAACAGGTGCCTTGAAAAGTGGCTCCGCAGTCAAAGACTACCCGCAGCTTTTTGTTTTGAGGGTAGTACACACCATGGTGAGGTATGTACCACACCCTCATATCATGACGAGCCAACTGGTCAGATGGAACTCGCTCAGCGTAACCATTGGCAAGCATCCCTGACATGAATGTAACATAATCACGACAAAGAGACAAATCTTTGGTCAAACATTTTTCAAGACTCTGCGCACACTGTTCTGCAACGGTTTTATTGTTCAGCATGTTGAGGGCTTTTTCTCTCATGGGCAAAGCAATGCAATAATGGCCATTCACCAACCTGACTGACTCAGAGACAGACTCCATAAATTTGTTCATCTTCTTTAGATAGGCCAAGTTGTTCTTCCTGTTTTGTTTCAGGGAAGTCAACCTTTAGCTGTTTTTCCCAAAGTTCATCCAACTTTGCCACCGAGATCCTCCCCACTGGCATGACATACTCCTCTTAGCGGGCCATTCACGGTCTAACCAAGGATGGTTTTAATGGCATAAGGACCTCCACCCTCTGCTCGCACAACCTCCCACGGCTCCAGTGCCTGAGGTACATTGGTCCCAATCAGAAGATCCACTTCTGCCTTGATCTCCGGGATGTTTATGTGATTTAAGTGTGGCCATCGTCAAAGGTCCTTCGTATATGGAATGTTTCCCCTGTGAACAGGCATGCTCTGTTGAGTGAAGATTTCTGGCAAGTCACAAAAACGGTCAGAGCCAAGTCCAGCTACTTCCAGGTCGGTTAGCGTGTAACTGTCTACCACCTTCTCCTGTCCCATTGTCCGGAGGAGAATTCCCAACTTCTTCCCACTGAGGTTGAGTCTGTTCATGAGCCGCTCCGTGCAAAATGAAGCAGTGCTCCCTGGATCTAAAAACGCATATGTCAGCAAAGTCTCATGCCCTCTTTTGGACTTCACCTGTACAGGCAGGATTGACAAGGTACAGTCCTGTTTTCCAGCCCCAGTTAACCCACTAGATTGAACAGACACCACAGCGCCTTCTCTGGCCTCCTCTGAACAGCTACTTGCCTGTGACAAACTACCTTGTCTAGATCTGGACTGAACATGCAACAATGTGGGGTGGTTACAATTGCACACTCTACATGTCAGACGCTTCCTGCAATCTCGACTTCTGTGCCCAATGCACAAACAACCAAAGCACAATTTGTTTTCCTTCACAAGAGACATCTTTTCATCTTGAGTCTTCTTATCCAACAGAAGGCAAACATCCAAAGCATGACCAGCTCCACAAAATAAGCAAATTTTTACAGGTAGGTTCTCTCCTTTATTCAGAGAGTCATCTCTTTCTGTCGGCATTACTGTAGTGGCAAAACTACTACCTTTGGGTTTTAGACTGGTCCGAGGAGTCACAGGTTTGAAGTCCCCTTTTACTGTCCCTGGGGAGTCCTGTATGTCCCCAAACAGAGGGTCACTTGCGATCTTCACTTGTCTCTCGACAAAATTTACAATATCATTGAATGTGGCTCTACGACAAAACTTTTCCTGAATATCACAGGCCACATTTCTCCAACGGTCCCTGAGCTTATACGGTAACTTCTTGATAATTGTTTGCATGTTAGTAGGAACATTCAGGTCACCCATACACTCTCCCATTGAATTGCAGCACTCATTGAGCAAGAAACTGAAGGCCTGAAGCGCCTTTACGTCCTCACCTTTCACCACAGGCCAGGCAAGCACCCTTCCCATGTATGCCAATGCAACTTTGAAAGGGTCACCAAAATGTTCTTGAAGCAGACTCTTAGCTTGGATGTAGCCACAAGCAGGAGGCAGGTGTTGATAGCTTCAGACCAAATCCCTGGGCTGACCTCGAGTATACTGTTCAAGATAATATAGACGGTCTTTGTGGTTTTGAGTTTTGGCTTCGATATTATGCTCAAAAGCGCTAATGAAGGTCTGATATTGTAAAGGATCTCCGTCGAAGGTATGCAAGTCCCTCTTGGGCAAGAGAAAGAGCGACTGTTGTTCAACCAACAAGGATGTGATCTCATTTTCTTTCTCTAGAACCGTAAGTAAACGCTGATCAGATGTGTTCTCTGTTGTAAGTGTGGGTGGATCAAGCTGGGTGAATGGAACATCTCGATATACTTCACTGCTGGGTAGCACTGACAGACCGGCCCCACTAACAGCAGTTTGGAGCTCAACCTGGTAACTCACCTTAGGCTTTGTAGCAGCAGAACCTGAAAGCAGAGCACCCCGCGGGCTCCGTCTGTGATGACTGGGTGGTAAATGCAGGCACAAATGTAGCAGCATCTACATTTAACTGAACAGTCTTGGTTCTCTTCAAATAGGAATTCATCCCATCCGATGTAACAGAAATGTGAGATCCTTCTGAGGCCTTAAATACACTTATTCTGGCCATAGAGGCAGCCAGCTCCATGTCCAGATCAAGCTCCTCTTTCTTCCTCCGCAACAGCTCCTGCTGCTCCTCCATTTTCCTGCGCAGCTGCTCCTGCTGCTCCTCCAGAGCATGCTTCTCCCTCAGAAGCCTCTGCCGAGCCATAAGAGCGGCAGTCTCAGCCTCAGCCTTCAGTCTGGCAGAGGACGTGGAGGACATATTGGACTTACTCACCAGTGTGCTGCGCTTCTTTGATTGATTGGATGCATTAGAGACACTGTCACTCGGCCCGATTTCCTCAGCCGCATTTTGCAAATCCCTTCGTGCACCTACACCACTGCCACTGGACAGAGGAGGATCTACAGATGGAGCACAAGATGGTTCAATGGCGCCCTCTTCCAGTCTATGTGTGACATCCGAAATAGCTGGCACCTCCAGGATCCATTTATTTGTCTCCTCCACAAAGGTACTTTTATGCTCCTCCACACTATCAAACCATTGGTTTTGCTTCTTTTGTTCATCAGGAGGGAGCATGGGAACAACTAGATCGTGCAGCCGACAGGCCTCACTGTACAAACTGGACACAATCTCAAGACATAATCTTACCTTTTCAACATTTGCAGGATTTTTCTTCAACTCTGTAATGTCTCTTATTGAACTTTTAATCCTTTTCACTTTTGCTTTTCTTTCATCTTGAAGCTTTTCCACTTTATGTTCCAAGGCTTTGGGAGTGAGTTTTGATTGTTTCATTTCCAACATTTGACCTGGAATCAGTCTCCATTTTCATTCACAAAATCACAATAATCACAAAAGTCTGCACTTACACACAACACAGCGCTTTAATTTTATTGTCTTATTTCCATTTATTTTATTTTTTTATTATAATTTTATAAATTTTATTAAAACGGTACAAGTTCCTGAAAGAAATTATTCCCCCTAACTATCCACCGGAGCTAAGCTAACTCAACCCTAGTCTTCTGCACGTACTAGCGGTGGGTTGTTGTACCTCGGATATACCGATAGACTGGAACCAGACAAACAGTCTCAGAACCAGAACTACCGGCACTCCCAAGCGCAATGCTTCACCCGCTTGACGCACAAGCGAAGCCCTAAGCGGGTCCCAGAACAACGTGAAAGTGCTTCACCTTATGTGAAAGCACCACTAAAGCCTAGCCGGGGAATATGATTAACATTCAATCCAAAATATTTACAACAACATGCAGTACCTTTAATCAAAGTGGCTGTGACGTTGTGTAGCACAGCAAATTTGTGAATGAATGGGCTCACGAGAAATTCATGCGCGTTCACGTCTATCGTTCACAACTCCGAAAGCGATCCAAAACATCCAGATAGTTGCACGACAATACGATGAAATCCACGCTTCAACAACCTTTCTGTTGACAAAATATTGCGGCGTATGTAGCCCAATGCTTATCCCACACGCCGCGGCGGGCTAAGACACGGGGTAAAACACTGTAGACGCGTAACTCGGAACAAATGCACATATACACGGTACTTGTTCGTAATGGTAGGCATACGCGTTAGAGCACTTACTTTAAAGCTGCTTCCGTGCGTAGCCATGCACAGATTCCTTCTATGTGCAAATCTTTCCTGTTAAAATACGGTCAACAGAAAGTTGCTCCCCGTGCTCACCCCGCCACCATGATCCAAGGCCTTACACTCAACAGGTGAGCGCGCTCATATATAGGCCACACCACACCCACCGTGCCACCCCCAGACACCGCAGTGTAGTGCACAGAGTTAAAGCGCGTGTACATTAGTTACATGAGGAAACCAATAGAAAACCCACGAATGGCTCCTACAGTATAGGAGCAAAGAAATAGTTTAATAGAGGCATTGGCATGTATGCTAATGGTTGCCAAATCAAAACTTGTACCTTCATAATTGACCTGACCATCCCCATCGATGTCAGCCTCACGGATCATTTCATCCACCTCTTCGTCAGTCAGCTTCTCTCCAAGGTTGGTCATGACATGCCGTAACTCTGCAGCACTGATGTAACCATTTCCATCCTTTAAAACAGGGTAGTAGTTACAGATATTTAATATGTGAAAACTAACAAAGTCAGCAAAAAAGGATTATTTTATTTAAGATGGCACCTTGTCAAAAACTCGGAAAGCTTCTCTGATTTCCTCCTCACTGTCTGTGTCTTTCATCTTCCTTGCCATCATGGTCAGAAACTCAGGGAAATCAATAGTCCCGTTACCTAATCACAGAACATGATGAGATGAAAGAAGCTTACATATTAACAATAATGTTTACATAACTTATGCCAAAGCCTGCGATGGTCTTATTAAATGAAATAAGTAGATATAGAACATTTCTCTGTCTTCCTTTCTCACAACATATGTATCATATACCAACAAATTTTACTTTGTGGAGATGCTTCCTGATGTACGAGAGATGTGATTAGAGGACTATTTAAACATGATTGAAACAATACAGATGTGTATTTAGTGAAAGTGTAACGTATCAGAATGCTTCAAAACACAGCATTTCCACCATCTGCCTCTTAGAGCATAATGAAGTGAGATTTGCTGCTCACCATCAGCATCCACCTCATTGATCATGTCTTGCAGCTCAGCTTCAGTGGGGTTCTGTCCAAGAGAGCGCATGACTGTCCCCAACTCTTTTGTGGTAATAGTGCCATCACCATCTTTGTCGAAGAGTGAAAAGGCCTCCTTGAACTCTGCACAGTACAAACACAGGCAATGGATGCCGTGCACTATTGCATACAAGTGTTTTGTAACCATTATATATAAATAACAACATGTTGCTGTGGATGCACCACAATTAACTTACCAGCAATCTGCTCCTCAGTCAGCTGATCTGCCTGAATTAAAAGAAATTATAGTGTTTATGATTAACAGTTAAATTAGAAGACTATGCTTGATCAAACACAAATCTGTGATTCTGTACAGCATTTCAACTATGTTGGGTCCCACACAGGTTGTTCAAGAGTCCTTCCACACATGGCAGCCTCAGACAGGGAAAGTGTAGAGAGGGACGGGTATAAATACTCACAGCCAGGAATACACATGGCTGCTATAATTAGTGAGAAGCGAACAGGGTCGTCAATGTAGCACAGAGGATGAGAGCCACAATCTTCTTGTATTTAGCAGCCAGATGCTGCATTATAATGCGAGCCCTGCCAACTGTTGCCAGACAGGGATAGCTGCTAGTGTACAACTCTTTAAAGCGTATGAATGAATGAACAACAATAAACATAGGTACTTGTCCGACATTAACCTCATGTAAACAGAGCTTCACGGGACTGTCTTCCTTTAGCGTTCAAGTGTTTTGGAGGGTGCAATGCGGGTGCTGGCAGCCTGCTGCACAGAGCATGGTTTGGTTCAATGCGGGGGGAAGGGAGGGTCGGGAGGAAGGGTAGGTAGAGGATCATTCAACAAGCAGAATGCGGCTCAACGTTGTGACGCAAGACGTCATCATGGGCATAACCAAAGTGATCATATTTTATTTGAGAAGCATAAATGCTTTATATGTGCCGTGTGCGCATACAGTAAGCTTAACTATAGGCCTACCTTGTACATGTTGATTGTTTGATTTGTTTTGTCATATGGGGATCCGGGATAGCGTTATCCGGCTCACATACACCCGTCCATTTATTTTTACACATTAACCCCGGCCACTACGGTGAAATAATAATTACATTTGCCCATGTCCACCTCTTCCAACCAAATGACTCAAAAGAGATTAACAGGAAACATACTGCTGCTCGACGGGCTCCTCCCTTGATCAAAGCTTTTTGGAGCACAATAACGATGGTGTCATTTTAGATTGAAAACAGTAAAATGCAACGTTGCCAAAATATTAAAAAGGGTGCTTATGAATTATTCCACGCACTCCCATCACGCCACGATATCACTGTGCAACGCATCGTTTTGACATGCAAAAGCAGTAGCTCGTGATAGGCCTTGTTAATTCCATTTTGGACCAATGTACTTGCATTGTGCTCTAAATGGTTCATAGAAGGATTAGAGGAGAGCAAAAACAATCGTATGAATGCTAACATTGCGCTTATCTCGTAAGACAGCACGAGCTATGCTATTCACGGCTACGCTGGTATAGCCTTCTATACTCACCATTGTCCTGTTGGCTTTTCAGGCTCCAAGAAGAGTCTCTATCGTTATGAAGAAGTACGCTACTTTGTAATAGATATAGAAACACTATATTCAGGAGTATTTGTCTTGGATTTTGTAAAATGTGATAAATAATGTGTGTAATAGCGCCGTATTGCCGCAGAGGAGCTAAAGATCTGTGTGACGCCGGGTGGTAAAAGCATTGGGCACTGGTGGGTGTTCTGCGTACTGCTTGGTGCCTGTATCCTTCCGACCTGCTTCACGGCTCTATTTTAGATACAAACACTGGCAAATTTGTACGGTTCATGACTTATATGTGTATAAAGAATTTTAAATATTCATATTAATTTCAAATGCATCTCGTGTGGTAAAAGTCATGTTTAAGAACATAAAAAGAAGAGTTAAGAACTAATTTTATAATTACAAGACAGATTCATTAATTAAATTGGCCTATTTTACTTACTATGCCCACTTTTTCATATTGTGTTTGACTGACATTGACCACCAGGGGTAAGCTTTACTTTTAGTACGACCACTGTTGGCCTATTAAAATTGTCGAAAGGATATTCATTCTTTACTTGAAAGAGCCCGATGCATTGAAAGAACATCAATTAAGCAATATTTTCTTTCTTTTTTTAATTTGATTTGTTTTTATTGCTATTCACTCTGATCGAATCCCTCTTGGCTTCTCTATGAAAACTTATAAAGCATCTTGATACACTTATTCAAAGAGTGTAAAAAGTCAAAATAGTTTTATTAGGCATGATGTGTTTACAACAATGTTTACAACAATACAGTTTTAAATTCTGAAGAGAAGATAGGTTTAACACAATCGTCTCTCTTTGCAGAGATGACCATATGGCAAGAACACCAGCAGAGGGCGCCATAGATCTAAGTTGGTTTAGTGCAAATACTTAAGACATCCTCTTCTTCATCGTCTTGTCTAAAGAATTGTCTGTTTTCCTGATCTTTACCAGATACTGTTTCCACTTTTGCATCATTACAAAAGCACTTTCTAATATCCCTAGGAAACCCCAAAGCCCATGGTTTTCTGTACTCTGAGGTATGAAGTGTTTGCCTGCTGAGTCTTTTTTGGCACAGCCTGAAGAAATGCCTGAATTTGACATATTTGACCCTGTTGAACATGACGTCTAGACATTCCAGTAGCCAGTTCAGTCCCTGTTTGATGATGACTGATATAGTGTTAAACAAGGAGTAGGTGCAGCAAACTCCCAGTAGCATCAGTAGACAGTTGGCCACCTGATACCCACGGGTCTCCTCATGGTGCTCCCGTTGACCACTCACAAAGTCTCCAAAGCCCACTGTGCTGAAAGCTACAAAACAAAAGTACAAGCTCTCCAGGTAGCTCCAGCCTTCCATGACAGAATAGAGTGAAGCTGCACAGCAAGCAACCAGTAAAACAGCGAGGAGTAGAACAAAGGTCACTTGAAGTATTGATGGTTTCCAGTTATTTTCATCATCTTCATTATTTCTGTTTTGCAGTCTGCTGTGCTGGGACCTCCTTCTGCAGCACCAGACGATAGCCACACTTAAAAATGTGATGATTCGCTCCAAAAAGAGATTGAAGAAGAGGATTGTTGTGGAACAGCCCAGAAGACCATAAAAAACAAGTAGAACCTTTCCTATGACAGTGGATGGGGCAGACACTCCAAAGCCTATTTTGGAAAAGAAAGAGTTTGTCATTCACTATTGTTCAAACAGGGCTATCTATCTGTAAATATGGAAGAATCTTAGTGGTTGTCTTTTTTCTTTTTTTTTTGCTTTATATGGGACTGTAGGTGTATATTCATGTAAGTCATGATATATATAAATGTAGCAATAATAATAAAGGCAGGGGAAATGAACATCAATATGATACTAGGGAGTTAGTAATAAAAAGAATAACTGATAAAGTGGATGGGTGGATGGGAACATGGACATTGGATGTGGGGGATGATGATTTAATCTTTCCGGGTGTGGATAAATGTACTACTTTGAGGAATGCAATCTGATTTTTTATTTTATTCCAAGTTTTTATAAAACTTGATGCAACAGTCGGTAAGAAAGGTGGTGTTCTATAAAAGAAATTGATCAGTTGTTACATTAGAGTTTCTACTGAGATAATTCACATGTAGATAGACACGCATTAAGGGGCATGTAAAATTGATTTTACTCTGACCATATTTGTTTATCTTGCAAATACTGATTTAGATGAACCCCTTTAAGCTGTTGTAAAATGTGTCTACTTGTTTCGTTTTTTTTTTTTTGTTTTTTTAGATTTGTAAAGGATTTATACATTTTCTTTCCTAAAAGCACTGCTATGTTACTCACCAATGGTGGAGACTACTGTTCCCACAAAATAAAAAGCTCCTGGGAAGTCCCATAGTGCCCTTCCCTGCTGGGATCTGATTCCGGCTGTCCTGGCCTCTTCATAGTGATATAAAATGGACTTTAGCTCCACATGGCTAATGTTATGCTCTTCACTGAAGGTTTTGAGTCTACTGGTCCAAAGATGATGGGCTTGAAGCTCATATGGTCTCTCCAAAAAAGAGAAGATGGCTGCTCCCGCTAGCATGTAGAGGGCAATAAGTATGCCCAGCAGGCAAAAGCGAGCACTGTCCCTGCCAGGGGTGAGGGACGGACACCTGCAAGACTCTTTCTTCATATCTTTAATACAGTAAGCTCTACTTTGGCAACCCTTAACTAACTATGACGCATTTAATGTTTTCCCTTAAATCATTAAATCATAAGTTCAAAGCTACTAAACCTTCTTCTGTGAGTGTAGTGCTAGAGCTGTGTGGTTTTCAAAATGATAGTAATCATCTCTGCTGCTCCTTATCTTCAACTCAATAATCCATCTTTGCTTTATTTTTATGAGCCTCAAACACACCATGGCTCTGAATCTCCCTCAGGTACATCTGCCTCTCAGTATTGTCACAAATGTTTATCTTTATGTATGTGTATAAGAAATGTGATATTATTCAGTGTAGCACTGATGACTTCAATCATACTATTAGTGTAATATTATATTAGTGTAAATTTAAGTGATAGACAGAATAACCAAATGGACAGACAAAGTGCAACAATTATTTCAAGTTTTATTGATAAAATATATAAAACTTGTCAATATAATCAGATGTGACATTAGGTTCATTAGCTAAATATGAACAGTAAAAAGGTGCAAAATATATGTAATATACAGGTGAATTTAGCTTGTGGCATGAGAACATTTCTTAACAGTAGACCAAAACTGAGTGTAACTCCATGATGCTAGCTTAATGTGTTGTTAACTTCAAGTCATAGATATAATTATCTTGCAAAAATATATTTTTCGCATTTCAACCTTTGTCACCAGAGTTTGGTTTGTCAGGATAACTATTGTTGACACATGGATACAATGAAATAAAGAGCTTCATAGACAGACTTGTTATCCAAGTTGACAAAAACTTCAGTTCTATTAAAGAAATACACTTTTCCAATTTTGATTTCAGGCAAAATACAGTTCCCAGGATCCTCTGAGACCATGACATGTTGGGGTTCAACATAAACAAGTCCCTCTTTGGCATTGATCTTCATCACACTGTTAAATATGATGCTGCACGATGAAACACTCTCCACTTTTCCAAGTGTGACTGCGCCCAAAAATATTTTTATTTATAAATATACATACTGTATACATACAGTATGTATATAATGTGTGTATACATATATAGACATATATACATACCCTTGTTGCAAAGGTTTTGTTTCTCTTGATTATTTATGGACAAATGTGGGGAACCTATAAAAGTAGATATATACATATTCAAACATATAATATGAAGTGTGTCATTGTTCACACAATATACCTTGAGCTTGTTTTTTTCTGCTGGTTTGGTTTTGTTGCAGCGGTGACAGTTTTCCCAAGCAGCAGGACCATAGAGAGGTATTGTAGTACAGATGACCACAGCACTGCAGTCCTTCCTTTGTAGAGTACAGCAGCTGTTTACTCTCACTAATGCAACATGTCTCCTGAAGAGTCAGACATAATGAGTGGCATGATCAATTGTTATATAATATGCATAATTTATTTATATGTCAAATTAAAAACAGGTGTGTACCTCTTTCTTTAGCAGTCTATACCCACAGCATAAAGCATTTTTTGATGTCACGTTTTGGAGTGATCCCATGCAACATTTTAAGTTAGTACTTTTAATGTCATAAGCATCCGTCCCACAGCACTGGATATTCTTCCCTTTTGTGTGGCTAAAAAGAATGAGAATAATGTTCATGGTGGCTAACATGGACAAGATGTTATATTTTGTTACACCCATATCTATGTCTGGGCTTTTTAACCCAACAATATTTTCCTCAGATACAAGTGACAAGAATTTGGCCATAGGCAAAGACATAATAATAATAATAATAATAATAATAATAATAATAATAATAATAATAATAATAATAATAATAATAATAGGGACAAGGTATCACACATCTATTCTCAATGAACAACTATTCTCAAAGAGCCCAGACATTCCTCCACTGTCTGCTGTTAGGGTTTTCCAGACACTGACACATTCCACCACAGCTGCAGCCCTGTCTGTCTCCGGCAGCACGTCCTCAACCCATGGAAAACTTTCACATACTTTCAAAAGGGAGTCATATTATTAATTATTAATACCTGTATCCACTGCAGCAAATATGTGTTGAAGCATTGTAGACTTGATTTCCACAACACTGATTTTCTAGATGACACTGAAATTAAGAAACAAAATGGAAACTTCAGGTCATGCTATAAAGAAATGTTCACAGACCCTCCTTTAGACAACACTGGCAAAGCTCTAGAATCATAACAGTCTGTTTTTTTTTCCTGAAATAATAAATGCTGCTAAAAACTATAGTTCCCACATCCCATTTGAAATCTTATCTATGCGTCTAGAAAATGGTTCTCCTTTATGTCCATTTGCACACAATAATGCAATGTAATGAGAGCTCACATTCAGAGGTCTAATTATTGGACCAGCTTAGATACTGTAAAAAAGCAACTGGGTGGAGCTCCGCATGCGCACCTATTAAAGCTACTCAGTACACAGATAATGAAAATTCAGGACTATGCAACCATCCTTGTGTACTTGTATGTATATGCTGATTTGCAAATGTCAATTAGTTGTTATAACTTAACTATTTTTACAGTAGACATAATGTTAAATATCAATATCTACTACTTTATTTTGTTGCTTGCTCTTTGATTGGTGGACATCTTGGTTGTAGTGTGGGTCAGTCCCTTTATCGTCAACTTCACCTAAAAAGAAAACAAAATGTTTGGGTATAAAAGCACCAACTGATTGCTTATAGTGCAAGTTTTGAAGAGCCAACACCTTGTATTACAGAGGAACTAGAGAATTTGGAGTTAACTAACAGCATGTAAGAGCATGTAATATTACATTATATGGTAGTTTCCCTGTTTCCCACGGGATCAAAAGTCAACACATATAATTCACATTCCAAGCAAAGCAAAATGTGAATACATTATTATCTATTTTGTTTATGATTTGTGATATTTCGTACTACAGTAATGGTTTATTACATATATATTTACAGTGATAGATGAATATTTCTTATTTATTAATACTTCACAATACAATTTTAATATTGCCAATGGTGATTTTGAATGAGTCATTTGATTCATGCCCCCACTGCACTCTGGAAGTCCTTGCTGTTAAAAAAACAAAAACAGTGGTAGTCACACAGTGCCAATGCCACCATAACACACTTACTTAAAGAGTTCAAGGGTCAACATGGAAAAATGCACATGCATGCCTGATTCAGTGATTCTGCTATACTGCCACAGTCCACAATACATGGGAACAAATTGGGGAATTCCTGGGGAACTTCTTGCTCCCATTAGATCACACATGATCAACAGAGCTAAGTACTTAAGTATGTAATTAATTATTTTTTTCTCACATACCACTGCTATAATTAGAATTATGCTACTACAAGCACAATCCTCTCTCTTCTACTAACTCTCTCAACAATTACCTGGACACTGAGACAATGGCATCACTTGAAGTGTGCCATTCTTCTCAACGCAGTATTCAGTCTCAATGTTGAACTGTTTCTCTGGTCCACAACACTGGTGCTTAGGGGACTCCTTGGGTAACATAACCTTGCTGCCGTTAGCACCGCAACACAAATGCTCAACAGAGCCATCTGTATATGTAATCTTTTGTGCTGATTCATTATGCATTCTCCCATCACAAGATGCTGAGGAAAGAAATGTATTAATCACTAATTGTTCATAATGGCAAAATTATAACTCTGAGTTTCAGTAGCAGGAAAGGACTATTCTGGGCAGTTTCATGACACAGTACATTTACTTCTACTAATTAATTAATAATTTTTTCTCACACCTGCCACTGCTATGATTAACACAGCTACTACAAGCACAAAACTAATACATCCTCTCTCTCTTCTACTACCTCTCTCAACAATTACCTGGACACTCAGACAATGGCGTCACTAGAAGTGTGCCATTCTTCTCACAGCAGCATTCAGTCTCAATGTTGAACTGTTTGTCTGGGCCACAGCACTGGTGCTTAGCGGACTCCTTGGGTAACATGAACTTACTGCTGTTTGCGCCACAACACAAATACCCAAACTGTTCTGTGAAAAATATGTCATTCAGATCACTGTAACAACAATGGAGTGGGTTGCCAGTTTAGAACAACATACCTGTATCAGTAAGGTTTTGTGACATTTTGCTTACGGCATTCCTTTGGTCAAGAGACACTGAAAAACCAAGTTGAAAAATCATACAAAACTCAAACAGGTAAACCTTAATTATTATACACTGTACACTGACCAAACTTACCATTAAATCTAGACTCTACTTGAATACTGTAATGCTTCATAACACAGCATTGAGTTTTAATGTTATACTGGTCCGTTTTACAGCACCTATGGTCAGGAGACTTTCTGTTTAAAATAACTTTACTGTTATTTGGCCCACAACACAATTGGCTGTCCTCATCAAATGCCTCTGAGAAAAAATAAAAGACATATTATTCAGCATATTGAGGAAATCTGAAAACTACAGTAAACCTTTAACGCTTTGTTATTGAATCATAATAGTATCAGTATACCATATTTTTACTCACCTCTGCCACAACACTGGGCTGTCGCTGTAGGTTTATTTAAAACAGTAGATTGGCAGCATATCTCATTGAGTGGATTATAAACTTTTAGCCCACAGCAAGATAACACCTTCTCACTGAGCAGGTCAGTGAGACTGGCTACAAAAAAACATAAAAACTGACTTGGCATTACTAATAACTTATGATGTGTGGCCACTGTTGAGGAGTAACGGATTACATGTACTGGCATTACATAATCAGAATACAAATTATGAGTAACTGTATTCAGTTACAGTTACTGTTTCCATGAGTGGTAATTGGATTACAGTTACTTTGTTGAAATAAATGGATTACATGGCGGTATTTTTCTGTTTTCACATTTTGGGCTAAACCAGGACTAAAACAAAAAATAAAACCAGGACTAAATCAGGTCTAAACTAGGACTAAACCAGGACTAAACTAGGACTAAACCAGGTCTAAAAAATATGACACCTAACAGTAGGGTGGACATAATTTAAGGCAGCAGTGATCTCATATAAAAATAATTTCTCTATCAATAATCTGGTTAAGTAAAGACTGGGCTTTTTATTGTCTTTTAGCAGATAAAACATCTTTGTCTTTGCTTCTCTATAGCAAACAAACGCCCGTTCATTGAGACTTGGGCTCAACAGCCAATTTGAAAATAAGTAATTTAATAGATTATGTTACAAAGTACATTTTGGGGTATGTAATCTGTAATTTGTAGGGGAAAACATTTTAAATGTCACCTTCCCAACACTGTGTGTGGCAGATTTGGATGCTCTTGCTCCTTTCTGCACATTGTACTTTGTTTATGTAACCGATGTGTAACATATTTTAACAAACCTTTGAGTTTTGAATTACACTTGTGATGATTTACTGCTCTGGTGCTTTAAACAGAGTTTGATTTGATAGCATTTGAGCCATAGGGTAGGTCTAAACTAGTACAACTAGTACATTTACACCTTCTATTTGCTTTTAAAAATCACACTTTTAATACCTATACAGTAACACTTAAGTACAGTATCCAGACATTTTCTTCAGTATTACCTTGGCCATGGACTGCACAACAAGTACAATTTTCTTGGTTGAATGTCTGGTTTCTGCTGTGAGGCAGTATTTTTTTGCTGGTATAAATACATAAAAGTTGTAGTTAGTGTGAACCTAGAAAATTTTTATTGGTAGCCTAAAAATAATGTCTTTAATTTAATCACTTACCTATTTGAATCTTTAGTTTCCCCGTTTGCTTTAGATGTGCAGACAGACGCTGTCAACAAGGAGATTGTATATCGTTGTATAAGAGACAAAGTCAAGTCAATAATAAGTGCTAAGAAATTAAAACTGAGAACTAAAATAGACAAAAACTCCAACAAATGTAGGCTATTAACAAACCCTAGACGTCAATGCGTAAATATCCATTGCCTCACCTGTACCAGCAGGTATCTAAATCTGTTAAAACTGGAAAAATGCATTGACTCACCATGAACGCAGACGCCAAATGTGAGCAACAACACTGCAAAAAAATGTCACCGTCAACTCATTTTAAGAAAGTTACCTAAAATTTTAATGACCCGAGAAAAACACAGATAAACCGTGATCAACTCTTGGTGATAACTTACCTAGCCTAGTGGAAAGCACCAGATCCATCATCTTAATGGCTAAACAAAAGACTGGGCACATGCATGGTTTAAGCACTTATAGAAACAATTAGCCACTCCTACCATGTGCTGTAACCTAAAATTACACACGTATAAATATGACACTCGAGGTCGTTAAGCCATAGTGATGATCATGATACTGTCAAGTCACCAGCCCCTTGTGCCCTTGCGCTCCTTGTAATTACGAGCCACAGCACCAGCGAAAATGTCGTTTGTTTTTTCTTTTGTCTACAACATCTGGCAAGTGCAAAGGTACAGGTCGAAAGAACACAAAATGACATAATATGTAGTGTATGTAGTATATGTAGTAATTCACAGACCCTCTGTTCACTATGATTTTATGTCTATTGGGCATTTTCATTTGTAAATGTACAATAAAATAAAAGTAGACTAAACAAATAAATGTATGCATAGCCTACAAGCGGAGGGATAAGAAGAAATACTAGTAAAAAGATAAAATGGTGATTTGAAATGAAATAGGGTTATCAAGTTCTGTATCTTTCCTGCGAAGGACCACAGCTCATCCCGTGGATGAGACGTAATTCCGTCTCTGAGGAAACCACAAGTTCAACTAAAGTTCCTATCACATCTGTTAGTATCAGGAGTGAAAATTGTAAAATTGGAAACAATAGCCATATATAGTACATACCTCCTTTATAAAGACATGTCAATAGAGCCTGTGGGAGAAGTATAGCTCCTCTGTATATTGTCTGAAGGAGTGGGTAAGAGTCCATGATGGAGAGTCTTCAGATCACAGCTAATCATATGTGACCAGCTTTACCACAGACTGGTGGAAGATCTCCTGTAATTCTCTGCACACATTTATAGACCCAAGCTGAATGTAAAATCTCATGTCCATCCTTTTGTTCACATGTGCAACTAGGTACTTCTAGCAGTTCACTACATCCACCTCCTGGGTGATGGTGCATGGGCTCCACTGTAGTCTTCTTTGTCCTGAAATCATGACCAGTTCCAGTTCCTCATCTCAATGTTCAGGAGTAGACATTGTGTGTTCTCTAGTTTAATAGACCCTCCAATAATACCATGGTATGAACAATACCATTCATACCATGGATCAATAATAAGAATCTTATTATACTTTTATGATTCATAAATTTTTCAACTTTCATATTAAACTACTTCTGCTTACACACACGCATCCATCCAGGCAGCAGTCTAAACAGGGACTCCCACACTTCATTTGCCCAGGGCTCCTCCAGTGTGACATGCCTGGAACACCTCCCGAGGAAGGCGCCCAGGAGGCATCCGGAACAGATGTCCGAGCGTCCTCAACCGTGGTGAAGTTAGTTTTACGTTAGACGTTAGATATTCAGTTACGCATCAACAGCGGAGATGTTCATTGCCTGTGCCCCGCTTGCTCGATCACGGTGCGGGGAGCTGTACACCAAAGCTCCGCTGAGTCCGCGGGTTAGGGACCGTCAATAAATTACCATTGCATTGAATGGAGTCTGCTAAAAAATAATAATAATAATAATAATAAAAATATACACCGTCCTCACCTGGGCCCACCACCCGCGGGAGGAGCCATATAGGGCCAGTGCAGAGAGATCTGGGCGGCAGTCGACGGCGGGGGCCTCGACGACCGGATCTCCGGACATGGAGACTAGCTCTGGGGACATGGAATGTCACCTCGCTGGGGGGTAAGGAGCCTGAGCTTGTGCGGGAGGTTGAGCGTTACCGACTAGATATAGTCGGCCTCACCTCCACACACAGTTTGGGCTCTGGAACCCAACTCCTTGAGAGGGGCTGGACTCTCTATTTCTCTGGCGTTGGCCGCGGGGAGCGGCGGCGGGCTGGTGTGGGCCTGCTCATTGCCCCACAGCTCAGCCACCGTGTGTTGGAGTTCACCCCGGTGAACGAGAGGGTCGCGTCCCTGCGCCTTCGGGTCGGGGACAGGTCTCTCACTGTGGTGTCGGCCTACGGCAGAGTTGTGCAAGTTCACACTTTTCATAAACTAGTTCAAAGTTCAGTTCACACTTGTTCAAAGTGAATAGTTCACGTTCATAGTTCACAATTTTAATTTTGAACTAGTTCAAAGTTCAGTTCATTTTATATTTAGATGAGATCTGTAAATGAAAGGCTGCATTTATTTTTCAAACTGACTTCTAGTTTACAACAACTTTACAAGATACACTGTTGGACAAGTGACTTTAAAACTGTAATGTGTTATTTATGACTTGTTACTGTCATTTCAAAGTAATTTGTTACATTACAATATTACTGTATTTAAAATGTAAAACATTACACGACTATTGCAGCACTTTTAATTTACTCTCACCAGAAGAACTGTTAAAGGGATAGTTCGGATTTTTTGACATAAATCTGTATGGCATCCCCGTCATCGGTGTTGTGCATTCACACAGACTTACCCCCGAAAGCGTCCGGTGAGCCGAGATACTGGCCCGTTTTGGTGCTGAGGAAAGTAGTTCGGCAAGTTGTGTGGGGACTGTACACTAAAGCGTTTTTCTTCTCAAAGCAATATGTGTTCAAAAGAGTGATACATTTGCATCACAAAACCATCGTCGCCAAAAAAGTCAGATCTCCTAATCGCTTGGCGCTATTTTCTCTCCGTACGTACCACTGCGCGCGGCCGCCAGGTGACAGCCGCGCACAGATCCATCACTTTATTCAGTTGTTCGGCAGTGTTTACATGCGCAGACCGCCGCCACGCGAGAGAGCTAACGAGAGAGCTAGAGCCATAAGTATATAAGCTTGTATAAGATACATATGAATATATCTAAAAAATGGTGCGAACTCTTGATTCTCCAGGCTGTAACAACAAAAATCTGGCTGAATCTCCACGCACATTTCACTGTTTCCTGTCACGGACTTTGCGCTGAGGAAACTTTGGCTTCTTGCCTTTGGCTTCAATGTGGAAACTAAACCAGGTAAGAACGAAGAAGTGCCGCTGTGTTTACAAGAGGACAGGCTCAAGAATCAGCTGTAACTCTGTGTGCAGTAAATCACTCAGTGTCATATCACCAGTGAAGCTTCTACAAAACGTAACTTTATAAGTCGACCGTTATTACTATTGTAAATGTCGCGTACACTATTGGTAGCAGCTACGTGGACGTGTGAATGATTCTATGTTTCTATTAGTCGTCCATGCTTCAGTCACAGTGTAGGCTCTATGTTCGCTGTATACAAGTTTATAAATGACATGATGGTGATTGTCGCTCACTCGGTCTCTCACGGCTCCAGCTTCAACTTGTACCACTTCTCTGTCTTTTCTCTCTCTCTCTGCCCGTTCTAACTCCATCTGGTGAAATTTGGCATCAGTATATTCGGGTTCACAAAGATCTCCCCTTGGCTTTGTGGTAAAGGCAAAGTCTTTATTGTCGGTGTCATAATCAGACATGTTGTCGCTAACATTCCGAGCAGTAAACAAAGTGAACCAGGCTCATATACTTATGGCTCTAGCTCTCTCGTTAGCTCTCTCGCGTGGCGGCGGTCTGCGCATGTAAACACTGCCGAACAACTGAATAAAGTGATGGATCTGTGCGCGGCTGTCACCTGGCGGCCGCGCGCAGTGGTACGTACGGAGAGAAAATAGCGCCAAGCGATTAGGAGATCTGACTTTTTTGGCGACGATGGTTTTGTGATGCAAATGTATCACTCTTTTGAACACATATTGCTTTGAGAAGAAAAACGCTTTAGTGTACAGTCCCCACACAACTTGCCGAACTACTTTCCTCAGCACCAAAATGGGCCAGTATCTCGGCTCACCAGAGGCTTTCTGGGGTAAGTCGGTGTGGATGCACAACACTGATGACGGGGATGCCATACAGATTTATGTCAAAAAATCCGAACTATCCCTTTAAGATGCTGAACTTTTGCACCGTATATGGACTGAACCAGGACTAAACCAGAACTGAACCAGGTCTAAACCAGGACTAAACCAGGTCTAAACCAGGACTGAACCAGAACTGAACCAGGTCTAAACCAGGTCTATACCAGAACTGAGCCAGGACTAAACCAGAGCTGAACCAGGTCTAAACCAGGACTGAACCAGAACTGAACCAGGTCCAAACCAGGACTAAACCAGGTCTAAACCAGGACTAAACCAGAACTGAACCAGGTCTAAACCAGGACTAAACCAGGTCTAAACCAGAACTGAACCAGGACTAAACCAGAACTGAACCAGGTCTAAACCAGGACTAAACCAGGTCTAAATCAGGACTGAACCAGGTCTAAACCAGAACTGAACCAGGACTAAACCAGAACTGAACCAGGACTAAACCAGGTCTAAACCAGGAATAAACCAAGACTAAACCAGGACTGAACCAGAACTGAACCAGGACTAAACCAAGACTACACCAGGACCAAACCAGGACTAGAACTTGGAATCTAGGACCGCCCCTGAGAGAACCCCGAGTGCGATCGGGCGTCAGCTGCGTTTAGCGCGTATCCCCGTCAAAATACACAGAGAGCATGTATCTATTGTTGTATTTGTGCATTTACCATCAGCACATTGTGCTCCCTGGGCAGTTCTGTATCATGTGAAAGAGCCCAGATCCACATACACTGTGAATTAGTGCTTTGAAATTTTCTTTTGAAATCCATGCGTTTGCCGTAGTCAGCCTGTACAGAAGGTAAATACAAGCAGCTAAACGCGCCCAGTCAAGTTTGATTGACTTCTCATTGAGAGACACAAGAGCCCGTACGTTCCGCTAAAGCTGCCGGTGGAGTCGCCTTCGCGTTGACACGCGGCTGTGGTTTCGCGAGGTGAAGTGCGAGCAGATCGTGACTCGTCAGGTGAAAACAAATTCCGACGTTTAACTGAACCCCAACAGTGACGTACGTCGTTCATCACACATAATTTGAACAAATTCACGTTCAAGTTCAAGTGTTGCGTTCAGTTCAAAGTTCACTGAAAAATGAACGTGTTCAATGAACGCGTTCTTTGGAACTCGTTCATGCACAACACTGGCCTACGGGCCGAACAGCAGTGCTGAGTACCCGGCCTTTTTTGGAGTCCTTGGGAGGGGTACTAGACAGTGCACCGACCGGGGACTCCGTTGTTCTCCTGGGGGACTTCAACGCCCACGTGGGCAACGACAGTGACACTTGGAGA